GGTTCTCCCGCCGCCCTGGCCCTCGGCGCGTCTCAGGACGAGCGCGGGGCATTAAGCCGGGGCAGTTCGTGTGTTTCGCTGTGCCCGTGCAGTGCCCCGGTGGTGTCCCGAACCGCCCGGGGACGGGAGCACACGTTACTGCTGGAGAGGGTCAGCCTGGGGACTTGATGACTGTGGGGCGTTTTTGGCTTTTTTACTTCCCAGTGCAGGGACCTTGTGGACAGTGAGGGAAGGACATTGCAGCGACACCGTCACTTCTATTTTTAATCGATAAAGATCAGGCAAAGCCCTGAATGTCAGCGTGTTACTACCGGTTTTCCATTCCTATCCCGGTTTTTCCCTCACCTGCACGCTTGGGAAGGTGTGTGACTCTTTGCAGTGGCCTGGGGCCTCAGTCTGAGGAGCAGGAGCTTCACACTGCAGTCCCAGTGTCTGTGACCTCTGTGTGCATTCGTCTTTGCAGTTAAGCCACAGAGTACACTTGCTTTGAGGTCACTCTGTGTTCTTGCTCAGCTGAACATAACAGTGATGGTTTCAGCCTGTTTCGCTGGTGAAGCCCCAGTGTTACTGAATTTCTGTATTTTCTTTTCTCTTGTAGGAGCAGTGCTAGGTTGATAGCACCATTGGGGTGCTTGGTTTCTAGGCCCAAGCACACTCTTCCTGACTTGCCCTATGACTATGCTGCTCTGGAACCTCACATCAATGCGGAGATCATGCAGCTGCACCACAGCAAGCATCATGCCACCTACGTGAACAACCTGAATGTTGCAGAGGAGAAGTACAAAGAGGCACTGGCAAAAGGTTTGTATATCTGCAGTCAACAGGTGAGGTGGGAGCTTGTTTGCTGTAGTAACTTGAACCAGAAAAAAGCTGAGTCAGTAGGAAATTGCAGTCATTTTGCTAAACAAGTACTTTGTAATAAAAGATTAGTAGCAAATTTGTATAAAGTGAGATTTGTGTGCCTTGATGGTTTTCACATTAGATGCTCCTCTGAGTCTTGGTAAGAAATCTTGGTCACCTGCACATGGAGGTAAGACAAACATGTTCTAATGTATACAACATGTAAAGAAGAGATCTGAATTTGGATGTCACTGGGTCAGATTAAGGGGTCTGGATTATTTATTGGTAGTGGTTGTACACCCCAAAGCAGATAAACACTTACTTGAGATACTTGTGAACGTGTGGTTGGTTTGTTTGTTTGGGGTTTTTTCTTACTTGGTGTCCTAGTATATTGAGTACTTTGATCCTCATTAGAAAAATTTCTGAGACCAGACTTCAGGAGAGGGTGAAGTCTGAACTGCCACCTTGTTCTGTCAGTATTGTTAGTTTTTCATGCTTAAAACTGAGCATCATCAATAATCTTTCTGTGCCATGTGTCAGTGTTGAGTTGCATAGCACATCTGATGACTATCTAGCATCTCTTCTGGATAACAGACCCTTGTCATTGTCTCTTGTTCAGCAACAAAAGTATCCTCTTCAGATTGTCCTTAATGCATTCTTCAGCTGGCTATATCTGCATAGAAAACTCAAATGAAAGCTGTCATGTTGCCTGCTTACCTGAAAATGAGTATGCACTTCTGTGATAGGGTGCAGCACAGGGCTTTGTTTCAGCCTGAAATGGTTCTGATTACTGGTCCATCAAGGTTTGTGAGATTTGCTAATTGAAGGATATTAACTTGAAACTTATTTTCAGTGGCAATTTGTGCCTACCACAATTTTTCCCACTCTTCTCTGACCGTCTTGTGGCACGTGATGTGCTTTTACAAGGAAACAATTGACTCTTGGTAGACTGAAAACCTGAGCTGACTTGTCTCTTGAGCATCTCTCAGCTACCTGTCTTGGCTTACTGAATTGTCCAGGGACAAATCAGTTCCAAGATCCTTTCACTATGACTTAGGGCAACAGCACAAACACTGTGTTTTAAGGGCAACGGTCTGATGCCATCTCTGGTTCCTAGTGGTCCTGAGGAGTAGGTTCTTCTAAGGAAAGGTGGAAAAAAGAGTGATGAACACATGAAAGACATTCTAGGTTATTTTTTGATTTGTGGCTTGTGATATGCTGTATGCACTGGATGAGCTAGAAAGTGTCATTAAGACATGCAGAATTTAAGGAAAAGTCCCAAAGATGCCATTGAGGTGGAATGAGAGATGTCTTATCCTTAACTGGAAACCTGAATTCAGCAAATAGTGTTTTTAGGAACTGCACTGGATGCTGTGTTCCAGTCCTGTACCTGTCTGTAGTTTCTGAAGGGTGTGAGGAGATGCTGAGGACATGGAATCCTGTACTAAAATGTTAGTAACAGATGTGCTACTGCTTTGAGGCATAGCTTCATGTCTCTGTTGAGAATACGCAGTTGTTGCTATAGGAGGTTTTCTGCCAGTCATTCCTGAGAAGCGCTGGAGGAAACAGCTCCCCCCACTGATTCCTTATTAAATAGCATATTGGAATGGTGCAGAAAGCTTTAGATCCTTTGAAATGCTTCAGTGCTTTTGAAAGCAAAAATATTATTCAGAACACTTGTGTTGACGTAGTACGGCGCTGTGCAGAGGCTCAAGGCACCAGTGAATTCTCTAAGGCATATATGGCATGTTGTGGAGGGAGGAGTAGTACAGGGCTGTCTGATGTTGATTTCAGATGCAGGGTTCTGTCATGTGGAATAAAATGGTCTGGGTCACTGTCTCTTCCTGCAGGTACCTCCCTCCAAAAAAATCCAAAGTGAAACAAAATACAGGAGGGAGAAGAACATTTTGCTTGTGTATGTGCTCACTGTACTCATCAGCTTTCTCTCAAGCATAAAGTGTTTGCCCCGTAAATTGGTTTAAGAAGTGTAAAAATTCTTAGCTTGCAAATCAGTGAGCTAATGGGTGAGCAGTGTTCTTGGTTTCCAGCAGTGATACTGAACAATTTGCAGTGCTGGGTCCTTAAAGAATTCTGGCTGTACTAGTTGCTTTATTCTGCTGCAGAATGGCAGTAGGTCTTACATGTGTAGTATAGGTGGCTGACAGGTGCAGTATTGGCAGATCATTTATCATTACAGCGTAAGAAAAGGTCAAAGATAAAGACGCTTCAACATAGTTTATCAGTGACTGTCTAAAATATGGGTAACAGTCACAAACCTTACATTTTCCATGGATATGTTATAGGCTAGTAGAAAGATTTTGGAGGTCAATGGAGACCTAGTAGCAACTTACTGCTTACTGTGGTGGTGATGATGTTTTTATTTATTGATGTATTCTTATCTTCTGTACTGTTAGGTGATGTTACAACTCAGGTGTCCCTTCAGCCTGCACTGAAGTTCAACGGTGGGGGTCATATCAATCACACCATCTTCTGGACAAACCTGTCTCCTAATGGAGGAGGGGAGCCAAAAGGTTAGTGCTTGTAACAGTGGTTTGTTGCTTCAGTTTTCATTTACAAGTACAATTGATGATTATTTTTCGCTCTTTGAAAGTGTCTAAAGGATTTTTATTTTTCAGAGTTAATTTTCCTTTCTGTTTTGACAGTTGTCACAATTCTGAGGAATTCAGGTTTTTTGAGTATAAGCCAAAAGTATAAAAAGCTAGTCCTGTGCAAAGGATTTTTAATTTCTAAAGCTGGTTGTATATGCCCTGCAAAATACTTGGCTGTTGCTGTATATTGTCCTTTCCATCTTTATAAGAGAAAATAGTTGTACAAAGCCATGCTAATTAAATTGCCATGTGTACTAGGTTCACAGAAAGGGAAGAAGTGTGCTGCAGACTCAGTCAGCTTAGTGGCTGGATTTATGCTCCAGTTTGAATAGGGATAGTTTAGCAGTTAAAGCCTAAAGGAAGAAATCCCCTTTGGACGGATAGAGTACTGATTACCTACAAGTGACCTGCAATTCAAGGTAAAGGCCCTGTAATGCACATCTCACAAAAGCTGTTGTGATAAACTTGAGTGGTTTAGAATGAGGTTCATGTGCCTGTGATCTTTGTGTGCTTTTGTTTTTCAGGAGAACTGATGGAAGCCATCAAGCGGGACTTTGGCTCCTTTGCAAACTTCAAGGAGAAGCTGACAGCTGTATCAGTTGGTGTTCAGGGATCAGGCTGGGGCTGGCTTGGCTATAACAAAGAGCAGGGGCGCCTACAAATAGCAGCTTGTGCAAATCAAGACCCTTTGCAAGGAACAACAGGTCAGGTTTCTTTCCTTCCCCTGTGCTTCTGTCTCTGTAGATTTCACAGGCAAGAGTATGAGATCTGAAAAGGGGTTTGTGAGTAATGCTCAGAATTATTACTGGATAAATAGATCTGCAGAACCAAATGTCTCTGCTAGTGGAAGTGAAAACACTTGCAGTCTTTAGACTAGCATTGTAAAGCAGGACTTAAACTGTGAAGAGCAGTAGGGTTAAAAGTCTCTCTAGTCCAAGGGAAAATAGGTGGGCCATATTGTGAAAGTGTTTTCACTTAGACAGTAATTTTGTCTTAGGCTTCTTTGGATTATTTTTTGAGTAACTGGAGTGACTTGCATTTATCAAGAAAGATAACTCTCTTAACATTTTTTTTTCTCTGGCAGAAGGGCTGTTCACAGAACTGCCAGTGTAGGCCAGACAGGAGAGGAGAAGGTGTGCATAGTAACTCCTGTTCCTATGTAGGCTGAGTTTAAAATGGAGCCTTATAATTTGCTTCCTTAATATTGGCAAAGAGTAGTGAGTGTCCATTAAATCAGGCTAGGATGTGGGTAAATGTTACGGCTGGGCAAGCAGCACAGTACTGGCAATAATCTCTTTTGGAGATATTTTTACTTGATTAGAGAGACGTGGAAGTGTTAATAGCAGACTGGATACCCTTCACATAGGGAAAAGGTCATGGCCAGTGAGAATCCTGCCTGCAGTGCCTGTCTGCCCGAATCTTTTTGCAGATATTTTTAAAGGATGTTCTGTGGAATTCACGGAGAATGGCAAGGAATTTCATGTATTGTCAGCAGTCTGTGTATTGCCTATCAGGAGGGGGGGGAAAAGTAAATTTAGTATAGGAACATAGAGCATAATGGGGGTAAATTTCACCCTCCTCCTGTGAAAACTCTCTAAATAAAGTCAGTGAGAAAGGATATTCTAGCACAAAAGCAAGGAGGTAATTAGACACTTAATGAATAACTTGTATTTAAAGTACTGGGAGCAAACTGGCACGGCAAGAGACCTTCATAGTGTAATTTTTCATGAAAAATGCTTGCGTAACTGTGCAAAAGATGGAAAACTAAAAAATGGCTTCATCTAGTTCCAGTTATTTCTTCAAGGCAGTTCTAGAGTAGTTATAGATGTGTTTATGTTAACCAGCTCTTTCAGTTTATGCAGTATGTGTGTGTGGAGGGCAGACAGCTCTGTAAAATGTTGCAGTAAGCACCTGTGTGCTGCAGAGCTCTGTCTTCCTGCAAATTAAGCTTCAGAAATTGGCTACTACAGATCTATTTATCCAGTAGTAATATGTAAAACTTTACATGTAAAGTGTGTTTTTGTAGATTGACAAAATTTTTCCTCTTTTTTTTTCCACAGGTCTCATTCCTTTGCTAGGAATTGATGTATGGGAACATGCTTATTACCTTCAGTATAAAAATGTTCGACCTGATTATTTGAAAGCCATCTGGAATGTGATAAACTGGGAGAATGTGTCTTCAAGATATGCAACTTGCAAAAAGTAGAGTGGAATTCTTGCACAGACTACTAAAATGTTACCACTTCTACTCTGATACCACTCTTGTAGTACTGCCTGTGGCTTACAAATGAATTGCTCTGCTGCAGAAAACACTTCACTCATCCAACAAAAGCATTTCATAATCAAGCAAAGTGTCTGCTTGTTTAATTCTGTGATAGGTATTTACTTAGAGTTTTGAAGCTTTAAACTGTTGTGCAACGAAGGGAGACATTTAAACAACCTTTTCCATTGCATATAGAAACGTAAGTCACCTTGCTGAAGTTTAATGAGGTAATGGATTTCCTTGTTGCACTAAAATACCTAAGTGGAAATATGTGCTAATGTTGCTGTAAACAAATAAAACTCCAATGAAGAATCTTCTATAATTGTCTACAAGAGACTCATTTTTAGTGGTAGCTGGTCCAGTTACTTGATTTAAAAGTGATTGGAAGAGGGAAATGCCTTTTGTAATTTGTTGTATTACAGGCTGTGGAGCTTTCTTGCAGATTGAAAAGGGGGATGAGAGGGGGAAATAGGTGTTGCTATGTCTGCCTGAATTGACTGTCTTCAGTCATCCCTACCTGTTCTGCATCTCCTACATGAGACCTGCATGTGTCACACTGTTGCACTAGCTATTCAAGTGTTACCTTGGGCAAGAGATTACAGTACTAGATCAGGCAGAATTGTTCATACAGGACCTGAATGGCACCATGTGATACTCATTTCATACTAACTGTTCAAATCATATCCTAAATCATCCTTTCACTTAGGAGACTGATTACATGCATGTATGGAGTACGAATTGTCTCTGCACAGCTGTGTTCCTGAAGCAGTGGTAACCTAATGCTTGAGGCAGGAATGAAGTCCTGTCTGGTGTAATGGAACATGCCCAGGTGGTATTTAAAAATACAAGAAATCATTGGCATTTTGTGTTTACCATGTTGTCTGCTTGAAGGCAGAGGAAACAGCACAGTCTTTTTTCTGTTCCTTATTCAAGACTGTGTGATATGGGGAAATACCATATATATCAGAGAGAAAAAACCAACTAGTAGTGCAGTGCTTCTGCTCATGATGAGTGAATGCTGAGGCAGTGCTTTGTTGGTAGTGTGTGTGCCAGGCATATTCTTGGTACTGTGTGCTCTAAAGAACAGAGAGGTAAATGTGCCTATGCACTGGTGCTCAGGAAGGGAGTGCTGAAGGTATTTGCAGACAACACTAAGTTGGGTGGGAGGGTAGGAAAGCTCTACAGAGAGACCTGGATCAAGTTGATCAGTGGGCTGAGGACAACTGCATGAGGTTCAATAAGGTGAAGTGCTGGGTCCTGCACTTGGGACACAACAACTCCATGCTGGGGGAGGAGTGGCTCAAGTGTTGAATGTCATCAAGAGCAGCATTTGTCTAAAGTCACATGAGTAAGGAATAGAGCCCAACAAATACTATCTTGTTGCTTAACACGGGAGACTTGAGCAGTCCTGTTGACTTCAGTGAATCAAATTGTGTAGAAAGTTAAGCATGTGCATGACAGCTTTCAAGGGTGCTTTAGTGTTGTGTCCCTAACATTGTTTCCTAAATTTTTTCAATTTGTGGAGATTTTTTCAGTGGAGATGTGGACCCCTGGGTAGAGTATTTAAGCCTACTGGCAGTTGTCCTGCTTTTATTAGATACCTTTCCCAGAATCCTTTGAAATAGATAGGGACCTCAAGTGATTTGCATACTGCACGTTGAAAACCACTGGCTGGATAGGATGGAGTAAGAAGATGAAAACAGACTAACTGTTGAAGGCAAATAGTACACTGAAGCAATGAAAGTGATTTGATGCTTGTTCTGGTGGACTGTTACAAAGGACAAGGGTTGATTATATGGTTCATTTGAAAGAAGGGTTTGGTGAAACTTTTAATTCCAAACTGCTGTGAAATCTGCAAAAAGGCCTAGTGGTCCTTGTGGCATCATGAGTTGGAGTACATGCCTGTAATTTAGCAAGTCTGCTGGCAAAGCCGTTGACTGGGCAGTGAAAGTGCATGAACCTCTTATTAACCTGTGCTAGGCAGTAAACTTGGAATTGTTGTTGCTGTGCAGAACTAGCACTTTGCATTACAGAAGTTGCTGTGGATGTGGTCATGTATGTCTCCCCGCATGAACTGAGAAACAGGAAGAAAAAGCATTACAGCTGATCTCAAATACCCTGTCTGAATGAACAAGTCTGAGACCCATTGCTGAAACACAAAATTAACACATTGTTCTGCATAGGGCTTCCTAACTGTAATGGTCAAAATAACTGTGTATAAAGTTGTCTCCAGCCTGAACTGTGCAGAATGTCTCTCATCCATGAGCATGGAATTATTTTCAGACTTGATCTGCATCACAGCAGCAATGAGTTTTCAAACTGCAGTGCTAGCTGGATCAAACTTTGACCTGGGCCAAACAGAAGAGTTGCAGAATTGTGTCCCAGCAGTCCATCAGGCCTAGCTTTTGTCAGTCCTTGCTTAGCTGTGTTGCTGATGAAGATTATGTGTATGTAGACACAGTTTCTGTAGGCCACAATATGTTAAATAAGAACTTGAAATCACCTTCAAGAGAGGAACAAAGTACAGTACCTAACCAAATCCTCTTGGAAATTGTGTTATGAGTCAGAAGAACAGACTGCATCAGGGTGATCCCATAAGAAATACTTAGTGGTGGCAAAGCTGCTGCACACAGAGACTTTGCAGGTTACAAACTGAATTCAGTGGCTGAAGCTCCTTTCAGAAGCAGATGCAGTGGGGTCTCAAATACTCTGCCACGAAATGCAAGTCCACGTTTAAGATTTTCTGCTGACCCCTAAAAAGACATTTGAAGGTGAATGTGAATTACAGAGCATGTGTGTTTCATTCTGTGCTAGAACAGACTAAAGTAATTCAAGGCCAACAAAACTGAGGTCTTGCAGCCTCTCTGCCGCCCCTCTTCAGTAGGTTGTGGGGATGATGCCATGGCCAGCCCCAGAGACCCCAGAGGTTGGTGCCTTCATCCTGCTGTGAAACAGGAGGCATCTGTGGGTGCCTTTACTGAGCGTGGAGAAATTGGAATAGATCAAAGACAGTTTTCCCCTTCAGCTTCTACTTTCCACTTCACAATTTTTTATTTCACCTTTATCTACAGCATGTATTAAAAAAAACCCCAAGGTAGTAAGCCCCTTGACAAAAGTAGTGTCTCACCTTGTGAGCTGGTATGCTCTTCTAGACATTAAGGCCTCTGTTTACTGAAGATTTGTTTGTTTTGCATTCAAGAATTTAGTTCTCTCTAGTGTAGCAAAATAGGTTTAAAATTGTGCTGTGCCATTCTGCTAATATTTTACATGCCTGTTGCATTGACCTTGCAGAAGTTAATCATTACACTAGTATAAAGAAAAGAATTGTGTTTGCAGTTGTGTCTAATACTGAGCAGATAAAGTACTGGTAACTTAGTCGGCTTAACCTACCTTTTCCTTCTGCTTAATGATTAAAAGTAGTGTCGTCAGATTTCATCATACCTGTTATTACACCGTTGCAGGAAAAAGCAAAGTTGCTCGGGGGTCAGTGATAGGAGTGTGTGTGTGACTGCAGAGCTGAAGCAGCCCCTGTGTCAGAGACCCAGAGCTGTGTTCCCCACTAGGTGGGAGTGTCTGTCTGCCTTACTCTTGTCTTAGGGCTGCAGAGTGGAATTTCTGAGAGTTGGGTCGAGAAGTTCAGTGTTCTCACTGCATGGGAGAGGAGGTGTTTGGACTTCCACTTTCTAGATAATCAAGGTGACCCTTGTCAGTAAACAGTATGTGGAGAGGAGACAATGCTGCTGTAGAGGAGAGCTTATGGTAATACATACAGTCAGATGCAGAGTATACTATCACTAGAGCCAGGCAGGCAGAGGCTAGAGGAAGGTACTCCTAGATAAAATGAAGATGCTTCTGGGGTTCTCATCTCGTTGCCTCATCAGACTGTGTCTGTGCAGGCACACACTGCACAAGTCATCCTGAATGGGCTTTCAAGCCCAGAGACCACAGATTCAACCACGGATGAAGTCTGTTATGTTGCTCTAACTGACCCAAGTCTGCAGAGGGTATGCAGCCAGCTACCTGAGGCACAGAGCTTTGCAGTGACCACTGTGCTGCTTTATGGGGCTGTCACTGCACTAGCTCTTCACTGGACCTTCTCACCTAATGAGATGGATAGACAAACTAGCATAGAGGCAAGCTGGCAAACCTGCTGTCTGGACCTGCCAGAGCTGGGGGTGGACCCACATAGTCTTGTGATACCACTGAAGCAGCTTTGACACACCTGCCCCACCACAGTGTTTTAAAGCATGTCTGGGTTGATGGCAAATCCCCAGAACACAGGGAACTCCATACAGCACAGCACTTGGAAAGTCTTGACATCAGGACTATGTGAAATGACTGGCAGTCCCATAGTTGTGGGCTCCTGTATCAGCGCATACATTTGCAGAAGAAATGTCAGTTTTCTGAAAGTATTCATTTCTGCAGAACTCCAGGGAAACATGCAAAAGTTGCTGGTTACTGCACTAGGTGTTTGCAGACAGGCTGGGGCTTTCAGAATCTGACTTCCTCTGGGGGAGTTTTCTCCTGCTAGGGAAGGTAAAAACTTTGAAAAGTCCAGGTCTGTCTTCAGCTGGACTACAATTCCTTAGTCCTTTCTTATTTTCACCACCTTCTTTCTGGAGAGGAACCAAGTGTATGTTTCCCTGGCTTCTCCTTACCTCTGCTGTGGTACCTTATTGAGCACCTCCTCCTTTGGAGTGAGCTCTGCAGTTCTGTTCCTTGCATCCGTGTTCCTTCTCACTGGCAGCTCTGTAGGGCCTGCATCTTGAGGGCTTGTCCTTTATGTTGCTGGCAATAGAGCTGTATCTCTAAAATGTCGGATCTAGAAGCAAGTATCATGGTGATTCGGTTATGTTCATCCATAAGCTTTGCAACACTGACACTATCACAAGATTACTGCACAAGGATTTCAGTTTTACCTTGTTTTTATAAGAGAAGGTTAAACGTTTTTACACTAAAAGCATCACTGACACAGCAGAGGTCTGCAAACCTGAAGGTAAGGAGAAAGAACATCTGTTAATTCAGGTGTCATGATTTGAAGATAATCTCACAATTCTGAGCAGGGCTAGTTCATACTATTTCAATATTTGAACTTGACAGGAAATGGTGATGTTGTAACCCTTGTTATGCCTTTAGAAGTTTGGACCTGAGGTCACTAAATGGAAGGGCTTCCAGTTTTCAGGAATTTAAAAATTTGGCTGTGGTCAGAACTGGACAGAATTGAAAACTTGTCAGTATTTCCAGGAATCCAGAAGCTCCCCAGGCCCTACAGTTGCTGAGGAAATCTGGTGTTCTTGTCTGTTGGGGCAGCTGTTGTGGGCT